AACCAACATTTGTTCAGCATTTGCCTTGTGCCAGGCCTTTGCAATGATCTTAGTACACAGCACTTCATTGGAGCCTCATAGCAACCCCCGGGGCGAGCACCATCATTATCCCCATTTTACAGATGAGCAAGTGGAGTCTCAGAGGGATACACTGCTAAGCTTCACTAGTGAGTGTTCCCGGTGAGTGGAAGGGCCGTTTGCTTCCCAAGTCGTGTGTTGACTTAACTCACTGTGCTGTCTCTAATGCCACAAACTTTCATGTGAGGCTGGTTTGTGGTGAAGAATGGAGGGTGACAGCCTTTTGGTTTCTTTGTTCCTTCTGCTCCAGTCCCCTCAGCCCCCAGCCCTGCCCCTCTCAGAACTCAGACATAGAACGCTGGCCCCGGAACAACAATGGGCTTAAGATGGGGTGGGTGGAGAAGACAGGAGGGACACGGGGTTGGCTGTCACTGAGGCAAAGGTCCCTGACTAGTTGGGGAGAGCCTGTGTCAGGAGGGGCCGCCAGGAAGACAGATGGTCTGGGCTTTGTCACTTGCTAATTTGGGTTTCTGTACTTCCCAAACCAAGCCAGGGCAGCCAGGGCGGACAGGTGCCAGCCACTGAGGTGATGCGCCCTGACTCCACAACCCACGGCCTTACAAGGCTTAGCTCCTCTGGCCAGACACTTCCTTCCCTTGCCCTGTGGTCTCCCCAGCCCTGGGAGGGGAAAGGATGACACTGGAAGCCAGAGGCACCAGAGGCTGGAAACCCCTCCAGGCCTTCCCCTCTCACTGACACCCATCCTGAGTCCCTCTTTCCTAGACTTGCCCCTTCCTCCTGCCATCTAGCCAGCTCTGGTTCTCACTCTTTCTCTTGGCAATTTTTCCATCCATTTCCAGTGAGCTGGGCAGTCACAGAAGATCTGAGAGGATACTGGCCACAGAGGCCGTTCTACTGAGACCTGGATTCTGGTTAAGGCTGCTTCGGTCTCACCCTGGACTTGAAAAGAGGCTAAGGGGACCAGACACAGTGGGTCATGCCTGTAATTCCCAGCACTCTGGGAGGCCAAGGCAGGAGGATTGCTTGTGCCCAGGTGTTCGAGACCAACCTGGGCAATATAGGGAGACCACACTTCTATTAAAAATTCAAAAATCTTTTAAAAATAGAGGCTAGGGGAAAGCCATCAGCCTCGTCCTAAGGAAGGGGACCCCATGGAAGCCAGGCTCAGCCTTAGGTACCTGTACACCCTTAACCCGCTTTGCAGATGAGGAAGCCAAGGTTCAGAGAGGACGTTGCACAGCTGGGTCAGTTCTGCAGTGAACCTAAATTCAGGTTAGTGTCTAGAGAGCCTGCAATAAGGCGAGGGCCATTGCCAGGAGGGGAAACTCTTGTGGTCTAGAGTAGGGCTTGGAGATGAAGCTGGATTAGGAATTAGAACAAGATCAGTTTTAGCATTTGGCATGCTGTGTGCAAAATGGATTGAGAGGGCAAGCGGCCACCTCGATAAACCAAGCAAAAGAGTAGACAGCAAGAAGGTGAAGGCTCTAGTGGGTTAGGGGATAAAGACAGGGACAGGGGTTATATTACCGTTAAAGGAGGGCTCGTGTTAGGGTTAGAATTGGGTTAAAGTTAAGGTTAGGGAAGTATCTTTGCGTTGTGGGCAGCGTGACAGACTTAGGAGACCCGACCCCTCACCCTGTGGCCTCTCCTCTTGGGGCCTGGGCTCCCTCACAGGCACACCGATTGAACTGGACAGTCTTCCTGCTCTGGCATCCTTTGATGCTCTCAGCAGCAACAGAGCTGGCTTTCCGGAAGGCCAGGCCCTGGCAGGGCTGGATTCGGACCTGCTCTGTCTCAGGGCTGCCTTGCTCTGAAACCTGGGCCGGTTCAGCTCACTGACCCTCCTAGGCTCACCATTTTCCTGGCTGGACTATGAAGTCCAGGGCCCAGCAAGGCACTGGAGAACGTATTAATTTCCCAATGCTGCTGTGACAAGCCAGTACACACAGTGTTTTAAAATAACCCAAATGTATTATCTTACAGGTCTGGAGGGCAGAAGTCAGAAGCGTCTCCCTGGGCTGCAAGGCAAGGTGATAGGAGGCCTGCTGCCCCCTGCAGGCTCTAGGGGAGGAGCCGTGCCATGGCCTTTTCTGGCTTCTAGAGGCTGCCTGCATTCCTTGGCTCGTGGCCTCCTTCCATGGTCAAGGCTAGCAGCATAGCATCTTTTCTGACCTCTGCTTCCTTCATCACATTTCCTTCTATCAACCCTGCTCCTCATGCCTCACTCAGCTGAGAAGGACACTTGTGATTAGATTGGGTTCACCAAGATAATCCAGTATAATCTCAAGTGTCTTAAAGTAATCACATCTGCAAAGTCTCTTTGCCATGTAAGGGAACAGATTCACATTTGCATTAGGGCATGGGCACCTACGGGGGCTGTTATTCAGCCTAGCACAAAGGGTGCTGCCTGGGGCGCTCCAGAGCCAGGAGCACTGTTTCTGGCTCTGCGTCTGGGAAGGGTCCTCCCTGAGCAGTCAGCACCTGTGTCAGACAGAACCTCATAGCTTTGGACAGCTGGGCCTGCCCTGCAGGGAGAATGGGAAGCCTGGTTCTGGGCTGCTGTGCACTGAGAAGGGGGAACTTTTCTGTAGGCACGGAGGGAGGAGAAAGGCTGCGGAGGCACACTTGGCTGGGGCAGCCAGTGGGTCTCAGGGCTGAGACCTCCGGTGGTGGCCCCTCAACTGGGTGTGGGCGACCTGGATCATTGGGACCTGCTCCGCGCCCACTCTGTATGTGAAGGTAGATGGGGTCAGGGCAAGGGCAGCAGGGCGTGGCAGTCTTGCTTCTGAAGTCCACCTTTGAGTGACAGCAGGAGAGATACCTAGAAAACCCAGTGTGTGAACTGGGGCCGAAGGTCAGGGTGGATCTGAGGGAGTGAGCTGGAGGCTGGATTCCACACGGTGTGCAGGGATGGCGGGGAATTGGGACATGGAAGTGAGGGGACCCAGCCGCATGCTGCCCAACAAAGTGTGAGGATGCATTACTCTGAGTCTGAGATTCCCCGTGGTTCCTGCCCAGGGAAGGCCCCCAGCTGCCCTGTGTTCGCCACGTCTTGCTGTGGACATCCGGCCACCTACTTTCTCGGCTCGTGTTCACCCTGCTTTGTTCTTCTATTGTCAACCTGTCCTCTTTATTTTTCCTTTTCAAAAAGCAGGATAACTCAGGCAGAGAATTTATTTCCTGAGAATATCAAGGCCTTTTATTGTATAGGCCAGTCATGGTGGCTCACACCTGTAATCCCAGCACTTTGGGAGGCTGAAGCAGGTGGACCGCTCAAGGCCAGGAGGTCGAGACCAGCTTGGCCAACATGGAGAAACCCCACCTCTACTAAAAATACAAAAAACAACCAGGCATGGTGGCGCACCTGTAATCCCAGCTATTCAGGAGGGTGAGGCAGGAGAATCACTTGAACCCGGGAGGCGGAGGTTGCAGTGAGCAGAGATCACGCCATTGCACTCCAGCCTGAGTAACAGAGTGAGACTCTGTCTCAATAAATAAATAAAAGGAAAGTCATTGTATACATCATAATAAGCCAAGGCAATAAACCCCAGGAGGCTCATCTCCCAAGCCCCTAACTTCCTCCTCCCTCCCGCTGCTCCTTTTGGCTAGAGCCCACCTTCATTACCATCCCAGCCTCTCTACCTGGACTCCCGTGCCCCCAACTCCCATGCCTCCCCAGACCCCGTCCTTTCTCCCTGGCAGCCTGCTCACACAGGAGGCTTCTCAAAGGTGACCTGACCAGAACAGACTTAGAGCAAGCGCCATTAGGCAGCAGAATGTTGGTATAGAGAGGGCAGGGCCTTTACCTCTGTGGGCACGGGGGCGTGCCTCCTTGGGACACCCCTGCCCATTCCTCTCTCCCTCTCCAAATGGGGAGCATGGCTGGGGCTCCCTAACCTCCTGCTGCTTGCGAAGCCTCTCTCTGGCATCCGAGAGGGGTCAGTGTCCTGCCTCAACCCATGAGATGACAGACTATAATAGCCACAGGATTAACATAGCAGGCATTGTCTTTCTCTGACTATAGGGTGGGTATTATGTGTTCATCAACCGTCCTAAAAATACCCAGTAAACAGGTGCAGCCCCTGTGGCACCAGTCTCCTGGGATCTGTTGGCTTCTGGCTGAAGATGAAGATTAGGGCAGGGGAGAGGTGAATTAGTCCCACTGAGTTCCAGGCATGGGGCTCGGGTGTCTCATGATTTCAGGAAACCCACCTGGAGGGGGATGCAGTGTCTGCAGACCCTAGGACCTCCCTGAGTGTGAAGGTGGGCCCTGCTGCCGCTGCCGTTCCGTTCAGCCCCAGAAACTCTCGCTGGTTCAGCCTGCGATACTGCTCACATCGCTCCCCACCGCCAGCACCCTCCTATCCCATGTGCACCAGGGAGCCACCGAAAATCCCTGAAAGCTGAGTCTTCAGCCCTCTCTGGCTTTTGGAGCATGGGTTCGGAGGCCTCATTTCCATATTTCCTTGTAAGAGAGGCGTGGTTAGCCTGACAGTCCTCTTCCCCCAGCGGCTACTGGCCCCTCTGGGCCTTCGCTGTGGCCCCTTGCTCTCCCTTACTCCCCCCCCCCCCCCCCCCCCTCCCCCCTTCGTCCCCCCCCCCCGCCTGGCCCTTTCGTTTTTCCCCCCCCAGACCCCCCCCCTCCCCCCCCCCCCCCCCATCTCATCTCCGTTCAGTCCCCACACCTGGTCTGGCTCTTTAGTTTCTCCCTTCCTGCAGCCTGAGCCTCCCTAGGCGGGTGCTGGTTTCACTCGGTGGCACCTATGTGCACTGAATATGTGTGTGCTCCGAGCCACAAACTCACGTGGCTCTCGGCCTGTGTGCCGCTTGTGTGCATTGCAGCACGCATCTGCCCTGTGAGGGGTGTGTGTGGTGGGAGGGGTGGGAGGGAGGAGGGGCAGCAGGAGGGGGCAGTGGGTCTGTTCTATTTTTACCAGCCAGTTGCTGCTGGCCACAGTTTTCATAGCCTCCCCTTGGCTCTGCCCCTCACAGTCTGCAGTCTACGGCGAGGCACAGGCCAGTCCCGCTCCACAAGGACTGAACGAGGTAAGCGTCACAGCCCAGGACCTCAGATCTAGGTTCACCCCAGGCAGAGAAGCTGGGGCTTTTGTTTAAGGAGAAAGCGAGGTCTTGGAGCTGGAGGAAACCGTTTCTGGCCCGTACAGCTGGTTTGCTGGTGGAACATTCCTAAAATACTCCCATGGCGTTTTGTCCCACAGAATGGCATCTCTCCTGCAAAACTGTTGTGAGAGGCGAAAGCTTTTCCTGGATGTTAGGACGCTGGGAGCAAGGAGCAGAATCTTCCTTGAGGTTCCTTAGGAGCCCCAGGGCAGAGCCTAAGGGATGGTGCTTTCACACGGGATGCCCAGCAGGGTGTGGGAGGGCGAAGCACCGAGGAGAAGGGGTGGCCCTGGGATCGGGCAGCCGGAGCAGCTTAGGCGGAGCCGGGTGAGTGCTCCAAGTCAGCAATGCCTGCAGCAGGAGAGAAAGGGGGTGCGGGCGCAGGACTCCCAGGGAGCCCAGAAGGCAGGGCCAGAGCCCTCTGCTGACCAAGGAAACCATTTTGCTTCTGTGTTCTTTGTCTTTGAGGGATGCTGTCCTCTCTCTTTGCCCATCCCTCTGTACTGCAGCACAAGAGCAGGGGAGGGCAGACCAGCAACCCCTCTTGACCGCTCCTTCTCAGGGCTCCCGGCTCCGAGGGGCCGCAGTAGGTATTGGGGGTCCTCTGGAGGAAGGCAATGGTGGCAGCATTTTGGGTTGGGGCACAAGAGCCAGTGAACACATAAACCAGGGCAGCATCTACAGGGTAACCCAGGGCTTGGGGCAGGGCGTTGTGTGGTGGTCCCTGACTCGGATGGGGGCTGAAGCCAGCACCTGCCACTGCCTCTGGGAGTCACAGTCCCACAACAGCTCTGAGTTTAGGCTTTGCTGTTCAGAGCTCAAGATGGGGTTGTGGTGTGTGGTAGGAAGCCCAGAGCCCTGGGCTTGGGAATGTGGCCTGTTAAATAACCATCAGTTAAGGAGAACAGGGATGCCCTTGAACGGGGGTCCAAGGTCAGGGGGCGGGGAGCAGGGGGAAGCACATCAGCCTAATTAGATACTTGTGGATATGATTATTGGGTGTGCAAAGCGATCAGTTTCTTCTCCTGCACATACACTCTGTCTCTCTCACACACAATCTCACACACACACACACACACACACACTCTCACACTCACACACAGTCACTTACACACATTACACACACACACTCAATCTCATAGTCTAGTTGATCGTCCCTTCCATGCTGCAGAGCCTCAAGGAAGGGAAAGCCCAGCTCTGAGGCAACCATCAGAGACTTTGCACCGTCCCTCGGGTAGCGGCTTTTCTCATTATCTCCTTGCTTGCTACTTATGAGGGAGATGGAATCCTGGCTCTCCAAGCCTTCCAGTGGCTGCTATCTACATCCTGACTTCTTATCAGCCCTCGCTTGTCTTCTGCAGGGCCTGGCAAGGGCCCCTGTCTGGTGGGTGTGAGAGCACAGGCAGGCCTCTTGCCTGACGTGGGACCCCTCGGTCTGGCATTTGTCAGTGAGGCAGGCTGGGGCAGGCCCTAGAGCTTGGCAGGAGGTGTAAACTGGCCTTGGCAGGTAGGGCCCCACACTGGGGACAGTGGGCTGTCTGAGGGAGAGAGGGAAGCATGATCCCTGCCAAATGCCCACCAAGGACAGGGCACATCCCAGGGAGACAGCCACAGACCTGGTGCCCTCTGGACGCAGGCATTCCTGGAGGCTGGTGATGGACACATGGGCCTGGAGGTGGCTCTTCGCCAGCTGGTGTTTCCTTTGGACTTCCTCAGTGTCTTTGCAGAAGCAGAGCCCTCAGAATAAGCAGCTGCCTATAAAATCTAATTCCAGCCAGGCATCTCAGGAATTCATGGATGGTCTCCACACGCCTCCCTTTGTGCCCCAGCATGACAGCTGAGACTCGGGGGTCACACTACCCCTCCACCTCCTCCACCCCAGCCTTACCCTCCCCTGGTGGTGGAGGGAGCCCCAGGAGGCTTTCTGACCCAGTGGGAGATTCAGGGGAGGTGGCCAAAGCTGCGTTCACTGGGGTCTGAACAGTGTTTCATGGGCAGCAAGGGAAAGGAGAGAATTAGGGCAGAGGAAGGGGTGGCTCTGGGATGAAATTAGTGGCAGGCACTTTGCAAGGGTCCTTTAATGCTCCACCTCCCAGGTCCCCCAACCAGGTTCTTGAACCAAGTTCAAACTCCTGCCCCTGAGCTCCATGCCTGCCCCCTCCACACACACTGTGCTCTCCCACCCTTCACTTCACAGCCTGGCTCACGCTCCTGTGCGCCCCTGCCCACCTGCTCCCCACCTCAGCTGTCCCTTTCCTTGCCCTGAGCTTTTGCACAGTTCTCCCCACCAACCCCCCGCCATTGCAATGCTCTGTGTCCAGGCCCAGGCAAGACGGCGAAGGATGTCTGGCATTGGAACATCTCCCTCCGCAGCCAGACAGACCCCCTCTTTGGCCTGGGCCCCAGGATCACCTGGTCGGGGGGCGTCAAACTGTGTGTCACCGCCAAATGTCCTCACAGAAGACCACAGGGCTGCTGTGATAACCCCCTCCACCAGTGCCATTTTGCTCTTTTTGTTCATTTGTTTGACATTTATTTTAAGTTCAGGGGCATGTGTGCAGGATGTGCAGGTTTGTTACACAGGCAAGCGTGTCATGGAGGTTTGTGGTATCAGTCATTTCATCACTCAGGTAGGACAGATGTACATGAGTCAGTTTTCCTGATCCTCTCCCTCCTCCCGCCCTCCACTTTTTGATAGGCAAAATACCATTTTGCTTTTACTGATTGAATTTATTTTACTTTCAAGTAAGATTTGGTTGGAACAAAGGATTCAGCCAAATCATATTAATTTAATAGTATTTTAATTATTTACTGTTAATTAATAATAAACATCAAATGGAAACCCACTGATTTAACCCCTAATTTTGCAGAGTGGAAAACCAGCCCAGGGAGGGGAAAGACAGACTAGAGTGAACACAGGATTTGCCTGGCCTCGAGGCCCATCCTCTCCCTCTCAGGGCCCCCACTGCCCCACCCCGGGGGTGCCAGTCGCATTGCCATCTGTGGATGGCGTTGTGCCGTGTGACAGCACCCGTATTCCAGCATCGATTCTGCTCATTCGCTTCCCAAGCCTTCCTCTCTGAGCCCTTCAGTGACCACCCTTGATTGACAGGATGAAGTCTAAACTCAGCTGGTCCTTCAGGGCCTTGTGAGTGAGCTACACTCTCACCTGCCAATCATATTTCCTTTGGGCTCCATTCTGCTCCCCACCGGGGTTGGCAAGCTTTATCTGGAACGGGCCAGATAGTAAATATTTTAGGCTTTGTAGCTCACATAAGGTTTCTGCTGCAAATTCTTTTTTTCTTTTTTTTAAATAAAAGCTTACCACTCTTTAAGCAAAAACAGGCTAGGGGCCAGGTTTGGCTTATGGGCTGTGTTTGCTGCCCCCTTCCCTGCAGCCCTGTCCCATCCTGACCTGCTGGAATGCAGTGTGTCTGATTTCTTCCCTTTGTGTTCTGACTCTGTCTCCCAGGCTGGGCTGTAGACTCCCGAGGCCCAGCTGGGCGGTGGGTGGGGGCGGGAGGGGGAGGCAGGGGATTCCATTTTCCCTCATGAAGGACTCCTTTGTGCCCCCTAGGTGCGGTTCCACTGCCACCATGCCGGAAGTGTAAGTAGTCTCACTGCCATCTGGGGCCCCAGGAAGGCAAGTCCCTTTGCCACAGACTTCAGCCCCATAGTGGAGGCACCATGTTTTCAACCCCCACAAAGCTTTTGCCTAAGAGACCAGATCCTAAAACAGAGACGGCCCTTGATGGTTCTCCCGTGTTGCATCTAATGTGTCCTCCCAGCCACCGAGCGGAGCTCATTCCCAGGTTGCCCTGGGAAGGCCATTTTGGTCTGGGTTCAGAGTTTCCCCATCTTGATCTATCACATGAATTGCATGTGCCAGGCCACCACTTAACACTGGTGCAGCAGATGAATGAAGCTTTGGGAATTTACCCACATGCCCACGGATGGATGCTTCCACGTTACTGGAACCCTACCCTGAGGCTTCCCCGAGGCCTTGCTCACCTTCCACCACTTCTCCCCAACTTACGACGTCCAGTACCTCCCAGTAAGAATGCCTGGTAGTTCAAAGGGCTGTTGGGTTTTATTCTATTCTGCCGGAACCTTGAACTGCTCTCCCTGCCCGATGCCTGATGAGTGTCTGGCTCACTGTCATCACCGGCCCCTCGCCCCACAAGCTGGTCTGTGAGGCTCTGTGGCTGCACGTGTAATTCTCATTGTTAATACTCACTCTGTGCTCTGCTCTTTCCCCGTCCTTCCTGCGGTGGATGTCTGAAGCGAGGTAAGTGATATGTAGGGTGTCTCTGTTCTGGTTAACTCTTCCAACTGGTAAAGGTTGGAAGGTGGGGTTGGCATCGGAGGAGAGGGGAGAGCCTGCGCTAAGGCCTGGTGGGGGTGCCAGGGGGTGTAGGGCATTTAGTGGCTGAATACATTCCCAGGAGATGGAAACCTCAGGCGAAGATGCTGGATGTGGGTCTTCCTAGTGTCGAGTGAGTTGCTGTGCCAGTGTACAGTGTCGTCCAGGGACTGGTGCTGCAGAGTCACACCCAGCCCTGCTGCAGTACCTGTCCCTGGAAGGTCATCCTGGGCGGGTACTGCAGCCGGGCTGGGTGTGACTCTGCACCCTTGCTGAGCACAAGCTCTTCCTCACCCGCTCTGAGAGCTGGTCCAGTCCTGGGAGAACCATCCTGTTCCTTGCAGTGCTGATCTTGTGCAAAGCTATATTTGAAGGGTAAGGGATAGTCATTGGGTTATTCCACCCTTGGCCAGTGGCTGAACACTGAGCAAGGAGCAAAGAGATGTCCTTAAATCCGCTTCAGGCCTTAGAGAGCCCTGACACTGGCCGTTCTGTGCACTGCAGACTTACCAGGCTGCTGAGATCACGGCCTATGTACAGTCCAAGGACGGAGATGGCAGGGATAGGGATGTGGGCTCAGGAATGGCAACAGTGAGAATTAGCGCTATGGATGGAGGGGACGTTTGGCACAGAGATTCTCAGTAAGAATTGAACATATTACCTTTCCACATTCATATGAATTTCTAAGTTTTGCTGAGGCTTGTATTAAAGTGCGTCCCCAGTGACAGATGGTCAAATGATGTGGCCATCAGCTTGCCCGGTGATGGGGAAAGAAGACCGCAGTGAAACGGTTACCATGTGTGCACATTAGGGTGCGTGAACCATGGGGGCAGTGCTTAGAGTCATAGCCCCTTTCTCTTGAAATGACATTTATCTGAAATGTGACAAAAATCTTTAGGAGAGGAAAAGACGAACAAAGCACTCTGAACAGTCAAGATAGAAGTTACACATTCCATGTGCTGAAACTCACTTATGAACTCATGAGAACTTCCCTGTCAAAGGGAATCAAGTCTACCTTACACAGTGGAGTGACAGATGAGAGCCATGCTCCCCCAGCCCGCAGCACATTAAGTCTGGGTAGGATGCTTACTCACCTAGACAATGAGAAGTGACTGCCTACGGCCCAGAAGAGATATTAGTGCTCAAAAGCCAACAGTCTCATGAGTTGGGGGCCAGGCAGCCCTAACTTACCTTTGCCGGCCCTGAGGGACCACCGTCACAGGGCTAGGACTAGTAAGCAGGAACATGTTTAGGATTTTTCATAATAAAACAGTGTTTTGATATCTTAGACTTGTATGGGTAGTGTTAACATTTTAAAAGATTTTGAGGTCTACATAGACATATTTCATTTATCTGGGAAATTCCCAGCTTGTTTATTCAGTGAGACAGATCATCAAGGTATTGCTGTATTATGACCTGGAGTGTGAAACTGTACATAGCTTTTATGCTTTTCAAAGGATTTGCACATCCATGATCTCATTTTGTCTGTAACAACTCTGTGAATTAAGTAAGTGGTCGGTGGGCGGGGGGAGGGGCGGTCATAATATCCTTATTTACAGATGAGGAAGGAGGTGCCTCTAGAAGCCATGTGGCCCTCATAGTAGCATCTTACAAGATTTTAGCAGCAGCAGAATCAGAGTGGGAAGTTAAGGCTTCAGCCCCTACGTCAAGGTAGCTGACTGCAGCCTTCTCTGAACTGCAGGGGTTAAATTGCAAAGATGAGCTTTTAAGGCACCATAGGGTGAGCAGAGAATTCTGGATAAAGATAGAGAACGGTGGCTGGGACTTGTCCTGGCCTAGACCAGAACTCCAGTTCTGCAACCTCTGCCTCACCACCTGTCTCTCTCTCTTCTTGCCCACAGAGAAAACCCAAGATCACTGCCTCCCGCAAACTCTTGCTGAAGGTGAGGCTGGGGGCTGGCTGCAGGGGGATGCCCAGTGGGAGGCAGAGGGTCTGAAGGGAGGGTTACGGAAAGGAGAAAGGAAGGAGGCCAGAACGAGGATGATGAGGGGCACGAAGAGCCCAGCATTGCTGGAGCCAGTGCCAGGCTCAGGCAGTCAGTGGGTGGGATCCTCAAGTATGGATCCTGGTATCCGTCTGGGGTCCGGAGGGGAGGTGGTGATCAGCTTCAGAGTGGGAAGCTGCTAGTGCAGGCAGAGGGACTTACTTTATTTTCATATGTGTTTCTCTGTTTGGGGCTTTGTGGGTCAAAACAGACAGTAAGTGGGTAAGAGGAAGGAAGACTGTCAGGGAAAAACAAAGTTCAGGGCTCAAGGAATGTTGTGTGTGGCCACTTGGTATACCCTCATGCGTGGCCTGCCCATGGCCGCTGCACACACTTCTACACTGGATGGTGGTGTCAGAGCTGGCCCAGCCTGGGGCTGCCTTCCTCTCGTTCCCTGATGACGGGTGGGAGATTCGAGGCCCCCAGTTCAGCAGGTTTGTCCTGTCCAGAGCCTGATGCTGGCCAAGGCCAAGGAATGCTGGGAGCAGGAGCACGAGGAGCGTGAGGCTGAGAAGGTGCGCTACCTGGCAGAGCGCATCCCCACGCTGCAGACCCGCGGCCTGTCCCTCAGTGCCCTGCAGGTGAGCCTGGCAGGTGGGGCGGGGCAGGGTGAGGCTGGAGGCACTGTGTGTGTGGCTCCAGGGACCAGGCGACAGGAGCCTGAAATAACACCAGTTCAAGGCTCTATAATTTACAGGGCACCCCTCCCTTATATAGTCTCATTTAATCTTCACAACCACCTGCAAGGTGGGGACGTTAGATCCCATTTTACAGGCACTGAACTGAGCCTCAGAGGGGAGACGTGACTTGCCTGGGCGGGTCGAGCCAGGGATCCAGCTTCACAATCAGCCAGTGTGGTGGCAGGGAGTAGGGAGGTGGCCGTGGTTTAGAGAAGCCCCCCCTTCTCCAAGGACTTGTCTATCCTTTCCTAGAGTTTGGTCTTTAATGTTTTCAGAACACTGGGAAATTGTTTAAATGCCAGTTATTATAGAGAAAAGAGACTGGAAGGAAATACATCAAAATGTTACTAAGTATCTCTGGCTGGTGGCATCACTAGGCATTTTAATAATACATTGTTTCCAAGATGTCTACAATTAACACATTACTTTTATCATAAGAAAACAATTTTGTTTTGCTGGGCACAGTGGCTCATGCCTGTAATCCCAGCACTTTGAGAGGCTGAGGCGTGTGGATCACTTGAATGCAGAAGATTGAGACCAGCCTGGGCAACATAGTGAAAGTGAGACCTTGTCTCTACAAAAATTTTAAAAAATGAGATGGGAGGATAACTTGAACCCAGGAGGTTGAGGCTGCAATGAGCCGTGATGAAAGAATACTATTTTTTTTTTTTTTTTGAGACAGAGTGTCACTCTGTTGCCCAGGCTGGAGTGCAGTGGTGTGATCTTGGCTCACTGTAACCCTCACTTCCCAGGTTCAAGCGATTCTCCTGTCTCAGCCTCCTGAGTACCTGGGACTATAGGGGCACGCCACCATGTCTGGCTAATTTTTGTATTTTAGTAGAGATAGGGTTTCACCATATTGGTCAGGCTTGTCTTGAACTCCTGACCTCAGGTGACCCACCTGCCTTGGCCTCCCGAAGTGCTGGGATTACAGGTGTGAGCCACAGTGCCCGGCCAAGAATACTATTTTTTAAGAAAGCACATACAGGAGCCTCAGAGTGGAGGAGACTGCCCACCATCAGCCTAGAGTGGAGGAGATGGTCAGCTCCTCTCTGACTTGCAAAGGCTCTGGGGAGAGGGTCAAGGGCTGGAAGCTGACGGCTTTGTTCCTGTCTTCTTCACGCCTGCCTGATCCATCTGCCTCCTGCAGGACTTGTGCCGGGAGCTGCACGCCAAGGTGGAGGTGGTGGATGAGGAGCGATACGACATCGAGGCAAAATGCCTCCACAACACCAGGGAGGTGAGTCTGAGGAAGGGAAGGGGCACGGCCTGGGTGGACTGAGCAGGGGGGTGGGCATGGATGCAGCAGCCATGGGATGTCCCCTCCTTCCGCAGGGCCTGGGAGGGGGCCACTTAGCAGGAAGCTTGCACACACTTCTCCACACACATTTGACTTCTCCACACTACCCCTATAGGGCTGGAGACGGGCAGAGTGGAAAATCACACGTGAAAAGTGCAAACTTCCTCCCTACCTGCCATGTGGGCTCATCGGCCTAACAGAAGCACTCTCTTTATCCACCCACACAAATAATCATATGCCTGTTAATAAGGTCTTACCTTTGTGAAGTGCTTTCATTGCATTACGGCCTTTGATCCTCCCTACACGCCTGTGGATGAAGTAGGGGCTATTATCTGCACCTTGCAGAGGAGAACACGGAGGTTCAGAGAGGCCAAGGACTTGTCCTGGGTCACACAGTGGGGGTCCTGAGACCAGTGCTGGCCTCTGCTTCCCACTTCGGTGCTCTGTGCTCCCTTAGCATGGGGTGTGGGAGGATTAGCTCCATTCAGAGCCCGCTTCAGTGGGGCAAGGCAGAGCGGGAAGGACAGGGCCCCTTTGGGGCATCTGAGGAAGGGGTAGGGAGGGACCACAAGCCACCTCCCTCCTTCCCCCTTCTGCCCACTAGGAATGATGATATGTGGGGTCACCAAGCTCCTAAGATTTCCTTCTAGACATCACACCCTGGAGATTCCTCCAGGGGCCCAGGACCTGGAAGTTTCTCACCCTGCTGGACCAGGGCTGTGAGCCACTTTGAAGGCTCACTGGGGAGGAATAAGTTAGAAGCAGGGATGAGGCTGCAGGAACAAGAGGAAGCAGGCCTGCACTCCACACTGGGCTTCCAAACCACACAAGTCTCGGTCTGGCGGGGCTGCCCGTTTTATTCAAGGGTACGGCTGATAGGCTTTATCTGTCCACTTATCCATCTGTTTATCAGCAAATGTGCAGTGGCTATTTGCAAAGGGATGGGTGGGTCTGAGTGTCTTAGAGCAGGGATCCCTCACCCTCGCGCTGGGGACCAGCACCTGTCCGTGGCCTGCTAGGAACTGGGCCACACAGCAGGAGGTGAGCATTCCTGCCTGAGCTCTGCCTCCTGTCAGATCGGCGGTGGCATTAGATTCTGGTAGGAGTGAGAACCCTATTGTGAACTGTGCATGCGAGGGATCTGGGCTGCATGCTCCTTATGAGAATCCAACTCATGCCTAATGGTCTGAGGTGGAGCAGTTCCATCCTGAAACCACCCACCACTTCTCTGTGGAGAAAGCGTCTTCCACAAAACCAGCCCCTGGGGACAAAAAGGCTGGTGACTGCTGAGAGGTCTGGCTCCAGGGGTGGACAATTTAAGGTGTGTCTCTGGCTGGAACCCTAGCAGTCTGAGGTCCTCAGGAAGGGTGCCCTGTGGCTAGCTCCCTCTCCAGTGAGACCCAGGCCCTTCTCGCCTGCAGATTAAGGACCTGAAGCTGAAGGTGCTGGACCTCCGCGGGAAGTTCAAGCGCCCGCCTCTGCGTCGGGTCCGCGTCTCGGCTGACGCCATGCTCCGGGCCCTGCTGGGCTCCAAGCACAAGGTGTCCATGGATCTGCGGGCCAACCTCAAGTCTGTGAAGAAGGAAGACACAGAGAAGGTGAGGCCCCTTTCCCCAGAACCTTCCACCCCCCGCCCTGCCAGCTTTCCCCTTGTCAGCCCCTCACACAGCCTCAGCCAGGCCCAGGAGCTCCTGCTAGAGGCCAGTCAGCTTGACAGAACATTCTAGAGCCCTTGGGAGACCAGTGTGGGAAGAAAGAAGGAAGACTTGCTCCCCTCCTTCAGGCTGCTCCCAGTCTGACGAAGAAACTGGGACACCAAGAAAGCTAGACCCCAGACCGAGAAATGAAGTAAAAACCTTGTGCCCAGTGTGAGGAGAGCGTGGAGATTTAGGGTAATGGTGGAGATGACTCCCAGGTCACCACAGGGAAGGGGGACAGCAGCTTATACAGGAGGACCGAGCTCAACCGCCCAGCAGCACATTATTCACAGTTTGGTTGAACTCACAGTATATGTGCTCCACATTGCTGGGCTCTGTAAGAAACAGGGATGACAGGAACATAGGCTCTGGCCCAAGAAGCTTCAGAGGAGAAGAGATGAGCCAGGCAGTGTGCTGAGGGAAAGGGAAGGCGCCACATTAGCAGGGAAGGCTTCTCGGAAGAGGTTGCCTTGAGCCGGCAGAGACTGCAAGACCAGGAGGGTGGCGTGGGGTCTTGGAGGAGGTTTCGCTGGGGTGCACTGAGGTGGGAACTGGCCCTGTAGCTGCCACTATCACCCAGTGCTCCCAAGCCACATAGCTGCCCTTTTCTTGTGGGGCCTCAGCTTGGTCCATGTCCACCTGCCTGGCAGAGTCCTAGGGCCTTACCAGCTGGGGAGGGGCGTCAGGATTTCTTATCATCCGAGGAGACTGGTTTTCTATGACCCAGCTTCTCTTGAGTTGGGGGACTGTCCAGCCTGGTAAGTCCCTGCTGTGTCGTCCACAGGAGCGGCCTGTGGAGGTGGGTGACTGGAGGAAGAATGTGGAGGCCATGTCTGGGATGGAAGGCCGGAAGAAGATGTTTGATGCCGCCAAGTCTCCAACCTCACAATAGAGGTACCTAGAGACCAGCTCCCTTCTCAGGTCCAGCAGAGTCTGGAGGATAATGACGGAGTCTGCAGTCAGCAGGCGGGTTGTACCCAGCGTGGTGCGGGAGGGAAGGCACCGATGAGACTGATGAGGGCCAGCTTGCTGGGCTCATTCCTGGCTCCAGCACTGTGATACCTTGGGCATGTCATTTATGTTTGGGGGTGCTTTTTGTTCCCCATGTCTATGAAATTGGGGGCTGTATCAAATCAGTGGATCTCCAAGTGTGGTCGTGGGACCAGCAACATCTTCATCACCTGGGATGCAAATGATCAGCCCCCACCCCAGATCCACTAAATTGGAAACTCTGGGGTGAGGCCAGCCTTCTAGGTGATTGTGATGCACATGACAGTTTGAGAACCGCTAGGTTAGAGGATCCCTGATGTCCCTCTGTCTCTGATTTTCTGAAAATCTATGCTCTTTTAAACATCTCCTGGCTATGTCCTTTATTTGGGCTTCCTGCAAAGTACCCAGCAGTCACAGTACCTGTTCCCAAGGAGCTACCACTCAGAGAAGCTAAGGCTTCTCACCGCCCGAGGAAATAGCTGGGGAAACTGAGCAAAGCAAGGAAATTAGGCCACATGAAGCCCTCTACGGAAGTGCTGAGAGAACATGCAATAGGGCAGGCATCCACAGACAGCACTGGTCAGAGCAGGTGCTCTGGAGAGGAGGAGCTCTCTGAGGACGTGATGGGTGAGTGTTAGCTGGCAAGGGGAAGGGCACATCCAAGGGCTGATGGTGCCACAGAAGCATGGAGCTGGGAATTAAGCAGCCACGGCGTAGCAGGGCAAGGCCAGGTAAGAGCTGAGGGCTGCAGTGTGGAGGAGCAGTGTGAGGGGTCCCAAAAGGCAGAGAACTGTGCCCACGGACTGAGCAGCTGAGGTTTTGTAGGAGCTCCTACGAATGAAGATCCAGCCAGGGGTGTGCTAGGTGTGAGAAGCCCTGGGACTGCATGTGCTGTAGATAAGTCAGGGATTCATGCGCTGCACACAGGTCCGCGGGAACTGATGGCTTTGCCTCTCTGTCCCTACAGGCCAGCTTGCTGTGCTCCGCTCTGGGCTCCTGCTTCATGCTTCTTCTCCAACCCAGCTCACTCACCTCTCTGCCCATGTCTGGAGCATCCCTCCCCACCCCCACTTCTTCCCCCCAGCCTGCATGCCCTCCTCTGGAACTGGGAATACACAGATACCCAAGAGACAGGACAAACGCGAGTGTCTGAAGACCTCACCCTGGCAGAGTGGGCTTCCATCCACCCATGAGGCACCTGGGGCTTCCTGGCCACCCCGTGGTGTCACAAGTGGAGGAAGAGGAGGGAGCGAGAGCAGCTTTCCTCCAGCCCAGTGCCATACCCCTTCTGTGATGTGTACAGTGTCCGCAGCCATCTCAGCATCATTAAAAACCCAGTTTCCTGGTCATTTCTGCAGCTCTGACTGAGAGCACCGAGAAGAAAGGGAAGGCGCGGGGCTTGTGAAGAGAGGGCTGCGCTGGGCTCCCGTCACTCTGTCTGCATCTGGAGCTCAGGATCTGAAGGGAGGACTAAGGAATTGGTGGCTGCTTGCCAGGGTCCCCAGATCCCCTTCTGCCCAGTCCCTGTGACATTACACAGCACACATTCACCACCCAGGGTGCTCAGCTCACCAGAGCACTGACCTCCGAGAACTGACCCAGTCCTGCCCCTGACTCTGGCCGTCAGGAGAGGCCTGTCTATTCAGACCTGCTTCTCCTGCCGGGTTTCATGCTCTCCTTCCTCTGCAAACCTGGATTATCTCTCCCTGATGCCTGCTGGCTGTACCTGAAAGTGTTCTGGTCAGAGCACTTTCAATCCCTCACTTGGCCCTGTGGCACAGGGCGGGAGGCCCTGCAGAAGGGATACTTGCAGTTCCAGACATGGCCACCAGGTGACTCCTTCCCTCTGTCCTGGGCTCTCCTGTCCATCCCGACTGCGCTCCTCCCACCTTCACTCACCCTCCCCCCAATTATTTCCCCTTCACTGTCCTGCACTGGTCCTATCCCCCAGGACTGATTCTTTCCCGGAGGTGGGGCAGCCACTCGCCTGTCCTCTGGGTCAGGTCCTTTCTCCATCCCACTAACTTCTGGGTCCAAAGCCTGGTGTGGGCATAGGCCTGCTGGGGTGGAGTGGTGGTCTGGGGCAGCCCCACTTCCACCAACATACTCATGAGAGTGGCTCCTGTGAAGCAGAGAGCAAAGTTCTGACTTCTTTTCTTTTCTTTTTTCTTTTTTTTTTGAGACAGAGTCTTGCTCTGTTACCCAGGCTGGAGGGCAGTGGCACAATCTCAGCTCACCACAACCTGCGTTTCCTGAGTTCAAGCGATTCTCCTGCCTCAGCCTCCTGAGTAGCTGGGATTACAGGTGCGCGCCACCACACCTGGCCAATTTTTGTATTTTTAGTAGAGACGGGGTTTCACCGTGTTGGTCAGGCTGGTCTCGAACTCCCGACTTCGTGATCCACCTGCCTTGGCCTCCCAAAGTGCTGGGATTACAGGCATGAGCCACCACTCCTGGCAAGTTCTGACTTTTCAGGGCAGTGGGATGGTGACTTTTGAGCTAAGCCTACAAGGGAAGTGGCTGGTGTCAGACCTGGGGTCCCTTGGCTTTGTGACCACCCCAGCACTGGCCTTAGGAGGGGCTGCGTTATCTGAGCAGTTACCCTTCCACCCACCCTACTGAGTCCCATTCTGCCCTTGAATCCCATGTGTTATCTGCCATAAATACCAGAAACTGGTACAAAGTGCAGTGCCAGCTACACCCTGGGGCATGGTCTGGTTCCCTGGGTTGCTGGGCTTCCAGCCCCTTTCGGAGAGCATGGCAGTGGGAACCAGCCCTTTGGGCTGCACTGGGGGAAGCAGCACTCTTGCTATAAATAGGTCAGTAGGCAGAGAGGCAGATGTGTGCAAAAAGCACAACCCCAACCACACACACAAACCGGTAGGCACGGACACACCTAGTCTCAATGCACAAAGTTGGAGAACCTGACAGGGCTGGTCCAGGCCACAGAGGATGGGGTTAGGCTTCATGCCTTCATGCCCAGGCAGCCACGGAAACCCACCCTTCCCCGCCTCACAGGGCTCCTCTGGTTGGCCTGGATCCAAAGCGGTCTCCTTCTTTCACCTCCTTCCAGCCCTTCCCTAGAGCCTGGCCCCAAGTTCCAGAGTCAAATCCCAGCTTTGCAGTCAACTATTAACCTGGGGCCCTGGCAGATTGGGGTATACACCCTGCCATGTAAAGGCAGAAGACCTGCTCTGGGCCTGACTCAAAGCAAACATGTGGGTGCAGAGGGCCCGTGGGAGGTGGGGCCCCCTCAACACGCCTAAGCCTGTGGCCCTCTAGGAGGGGCAGAAGAGCCAACCAGAGGCTTCCTGGAGGTCATGAGGTTCCTCCTTCTGCTTCCAGGCAGGACCAGACCTAATTCATCTCCTGTCAGGATGGAGCAAGAGCAAATATAGGCATAGACACATTCAGAGCACAAGGATTGAGAGGGGCTGTGGACAAGGGCGAAGGAGGCCTGGGGCGGGAGAAGGATCTATGGGAGGGGCTGTAGGATCCCAGAATGGTGCCTAGGGGTGAGAGGCCTGGCCTCTGGAGAGCCCTGATTCCATGTCGTCCGCTCTCACCATGGAGGGCCAACACCACCCAGCCTGGACGCAAGGCCAGCAGAGCTGGGAGCTGGGGGCCTGCCAGTGAGTAACAGCTCACACAGATGGCACACTTACGTGTCAGGCACCAGCTGTGCACCTTAGTTCCTTTAACCTTCACAACAACCCTAGGAGACAGTGCGGCTGCTATTCTCATGGTACGGTGGGGGAAACCGAGGCACAGAGCGGTTAGGGACTTTTCATGATCACACAGCTAGTAAGTGGTGGGATCGGGATTCAACCCAAGAAGCCTGTTAGAATCCATACTCTTATCGACTATTTTAATGATAGCACTTCAGTAATAGTAATGTGTGATGCTAAGTGCTTTATCTGAATTAAACCATTGCATTCTCACAAAAATGGTACATTTGTTAGCTTAAATTTACAGATGAGGAAATGGAGGCCGGGAGAGTTCAAGTAGCTCACTCTAAGTTACAGGGTTTGCTAGTTGCAGACTAGAGACTGGAACCCTGGTCACCCTGCCTTGGGGTTGCCCTTTTATGAGATCAGACTGGCCTTCACAGAACGCAACCAGCCACTTTCTAAGAGGGACAGAGCTGGGGGTCAAGGGCCATGCGTATGCACCCAGGGAATCCCCACATCCCCACCAAAGGGGAAACATTCGAAGGAGATGCAAGGGACATCCAAATGGACTAAGGCAGGCCTTCTGCAAACACGTGGGTGCAGAAGGCCTGTGGGAGGTGGGGCCCACTCAGCACACCTAAGCCTGCGGGGCCCAGGCTGAGGGTAGAGGGTGGGGTGCTACTTGGGTGATATCTGTTCCAATCAGCACACAACAGCTGGGTGGACACCCCCTCTCTCTGCAGCTGGTGGAGATGGGCCTGGTGCTCCTCTCTGCTTGTTGGGAATGACCAGGGCAGGACGCCACCTGCTACACCCTGGCCTGTCCCAAAGCCCTTGGGAGACCAGCTGTTGCCCTCACCTTTCCCCACAAGGTGCTCGGTCCCCGTGGGGCAAGGAGACCAAGCCCAGCTGTGTGTCTGGAGCCCACTCAGCACGAGGCATGATCAGGGCAGGGCCAGCGCTCAGGGCTCCTGGGGCTAAAGTGCCCAGCTGAAGGAGGGGCAGAGTTAAACATTAACCACAGTGGCCCCCCACGAAGTGAGTCACACTCCCCACAAGGCTCTGGGCTGGGCAGCAGGGGGAGGGGGGCAGCTTCTTTCCAGGTGGGTGAGACCAAGCTGCGGAAGCCCAGGACAGTTTGCTGAGACCCGTGCAAATGGCAGCCTCTTCTCCTGACCCCATCATGTCTCTTCCCTCAGGCGTTCCCAAAGCTTGTCTGCCTCCAGGTCCTTCACTAAAGGTGAGGGGCAAGGATGTTCTCTCCCTTCCAAGACACACTCCAAGGCTGGCCTGTGGATCCCCTGAGGCCAAGGCTGAGCAGCGTGAGCCTCGAAAGCCCCGTAGCACTGGCCTAGAGCACTGTGGTCAATGTGGGAAGGCCCAGAGAGGGACAGTGACTTGCTCGAGGTCGCAGACCTAACTGGAGCTAGGAAGTGGGTCCCCAGACTCCCAGTCTGAGAAAACTGTATGTGAACAGGGCTTTGCTCTCCCTGCCAAAGGCAAAGGCCCAGGGACCCGAGCCAGCTGTGCATCTCTGGCCTCAACTCAGCACCCCAAATGGCTCCAGTGACAGTGACAACCACTGCCCTCCCTCACTGGTTGGCACAGGCTGGGTGAGCCTGGCCCTTTGCCCTGGGTTCAAAAGAGAGGTATAGCCTTGCCTGGCAATCACGGGAAGTGGTGTGTGTGTGTGTGTGCGTGTGTGTGCATGCAGAATGCAGGGTGATGACCTGCCTGCCAGCCCTGAGTGTCACTGACACCTGTGTGTCCCTGTACTACTGCCTCCCAGATGCTTTTCTCCTGGCTGGCTCCTTGTGACCCAAGTTTCAACTGCTTCACCTGACAATGAGGAAACCAGGGCCACAAATGTAGTGAGATTTTCATAACGCTAAATGTGTTCAGTGGAAACGGCTCTCTGATCCGAGAGCAGATGCCTTTATTTTATTACTGGAGTTTTAAATGAGCCCTTACTTATGGAATAGGACAACAGTAGGTGGCAGTTGTTTTCTAATGCTCTTACTTCACACGATAAAATGGTGGCGGTACAGTGTCAGTGTTTATATTAAACAATATTAATAGTTTATAAAAACCCAAAGCCAGGGAGCTTACTGCCCTGGCTTCTCCAGGGTGTGGGTCTTATCACTTCATTCATTTCTTCCCCTCCCCCAAGAGTGCCACAAGCATGGCAGTTGCTCAGCTGAGACACATGAATGGGAACAGAACCCAAAATGTCAGGATGTGACCTCAAGCCAGCTGGTTGGGGCTGGGGATCCCCCTGGGTCTCCACTCTGTCCCCTCTGAAAAAGGAGAAGCTGCCTTATGAGTCTTTTGTCTGGGAGATTCCAGAGCTTGGACGTCTGTTCTGAGGCTCCCCAGAACCTCAAAGGAGGAGACGAGAGAGATAACTCCTTCCCCAACCACTGGCTGAAAGATCTTGAAATTCCCTGATTTCGACCAGGGGCTTTCCAGTTGTGCTAAGCCCTGCCTGGTGGCCTCTCCCTGGAGGAAGTAAGCAGCACACGCGTACATTTTTAATGTACGTATAGAGAATCATAAAGTGAACACCCATCTGCCAACCACTCATTTTAAGAACTAGGGTATTTTGGAGCCCTCACGTGCCCCTCCCCAATCACAACCCCTTCCTCTCCACAAAGGTAAATACAATCCTCAGTTTTGTGT